CTCCTTGGGGTGCCCCGGGCTGGCCCGGCTGCGGCTGTGCCGTGGAGTCACCGCCGTGCCAGCGCTCTGTGCAGTGTGGTTGTGCTCTGGCCAGAGGGGAGGCTGGGGCCTGGGGTGCAGCCCTGCTGTGAAATGGGCAGAGCAGACTGTGCCCAGTGTCATCAGTCATCTGTCTGCGGGAGCTGGGTGCTGCCAGGCTCCCTGCCCTCCACAGACAGGGAGCCTGCACTTTCCCTGCTCCAGAGCCCTGGGCCTGCTGCTTTCAAACGTTCCTGTGGTGTGCAGCTTCTAATCCAGGCATTTCTCCTCTTGTTCTAGATAATTCACCTACCCAGGTGTACAACTACCAGCCCTGTGACCACCCTGAGCATCCCTGTGACAGCTCCTGCCCTTGCATCATGACCCAGAATTTCTGTGAGAAGTTCTGCCAGTGCAACCCTGACTGTAAGGAGAATCCTAAGGGCTATCGGGCAGGAGAGCAGCCAGTTCTGACAGACCAGAGGGAGGGTGCAGAGCTGGGACTTGCTGGAAGCCTGCTTTACCCCTGCATTCACCGCCCCATCCATCTGCAGCAGTTAGATGTGCAGTCTGCTGAAGTCCAAGGGGGAACTGTTCCACACTGCCCCGTGACTCTCAGCAGCTGAGGGACGGGCTCTTGCTAGAGAGTGCTCATCTGTGTCCAGCACCAGCAGTCCGTGGGTGATGCTGCTGGTTCTCTGAGAGCAGGATCTGTGGCCAGCAGTTAGGGTGGGAGCTGGGTCACTGCTCTGACATGGTTATTTTTCCTCTCTGGGCTTCCATTCCCAGCTCTGCAGCGGAGATAACCACACTTGCCCACATTGGTGGGGCTTCTGAGGGTGGATTTGTTAAGGGTTTTGACACAGCTTGGGGCTGGAAGAACTACAGGGTGAGAGGGAGCAAACTCAGGCTCCAAGATCCTCTGTGCTGCTCTGTTATGTTTATATTATCTGAGTTGTTTATTTACAAACTGCACAAAATTAGTCCCAAGAGGCAGATCAGCATCTCCAGCCCTGCAGATGGGAAGGACCATGTCCATGGTCTGTGCTTGGCTGGGTGTGAGCACTACTCAGAGCTCCCAGGCACACAAACTGCGATTTGCTTCCAGTTCCCGGGTGCCTGGGCTGCCTCACATTCCCCTTGTCTTGTCGTGTTCTTAGTGAACCCTGTTCTGGTGACTTTGTGGGGCAGGAAGGTGGTCTGGGGGCTCCTGTTTCTGCTGCCTAGAGCAGAGTGGGTGTAGAGCTCTTTATTAGCTCAAAAGCACCTTCCTGATGTTGGCAGGGTGGTGGGCAGGCAGTGTGGCCCTTGGTTGTGGACATCTTTAGTTCTGTACCTGCCAGGATGAGGTTCCAGAGGAGCTTCTCTGTTCCTGTGGGGCTGGAAAACCTCATGGTGCCAAACCACGGGCTGTGTTGCTGCAGGTCAGAACCGCTTCCCAGGCTGCCGCTGTAAAACCCAGTGCAACACCAAGCAGTGCCCGTGCTACCTGGCCGTGCGGGAGTGCGACCCGGACCTCTGCCTGACCTGCGGGGCTTCGGAGCACTGGGACTGCAAGGTGGTCTCCTGCAAGAACTGCAGCATCCAGAGAGGCCTCAAAAAGGTATTGAGAGCAGCGTGGCTCTGGTCTGCTGGCTGGGGGCTGCCTCGGGGTGGAGCTGGTTAAACAGGGTAGAGGGTGGCTGAGCGAGGTGGTCTGGAAGAGAAGCTGCTCTGCCCCAGGCTTCTGTAGCACTTAATCTTGAGTATGGATCATGGATGTGAAAATTGGGAGATGGGAGTTACATGAGGAAGGGTGAGAGCCAGGGAGTGTGAAAGGTGACTCCAGAGGAAGGTGAGGTCTTGAACTGTACTGGTCAGAGCAAAGAACTGCACGTAAAAAAGACCAAAATTCAGACAGATGCAAATTAGTGGGTGTCAAGTAATGGGCAGTTCCAGCCTAATGGTGCTACAGCCTGCAAGTCTGCAGGGAGCTGTGTGTCCCCTAAAACCAGGGGCTGCTGGACAGTCACTGGCTCCCCTTTGCTCCTCGGAGTTACTCATCCCTGTGATGGGGCTCTGAGCGTGGCTGCTGGCACAGCCGGCTGTTCTGGGCACTGACGTGTCCGGCTCTGCTGGGAGGTGGGGGTCTCCTCAATGGTGCTCTCTGGGCTGCCAGGGTGTGATCTCGGTGCTGGGGGTGGTGTCCCTGCTGACCATAACTCTTTCCTTTTCACTCTGGCTCCAGCATTTGTTGCTGGCACCGTCGGATGTCGCCGGCTGGGGGACTTTCATCAAGGAGTCTGTGCAGAAGAACGAGTTCATCTCCGAGTACTGTGGTGAGGTCAGTGCCTCTGCCCGCGCCGGGGCTGCTGTGGTGACAGCACTGCCTTTGGCTGCTGGTCCAGGGGGGACAGTGCTCCTTCCCCAGCTCAGCCATGGCCGTGGGCTCACTCTGACCAGGTTTAGAGATTGAATCTTGGACAATTTTGAGACCCATCTCAGTACCTCTATGCTCTCCACTGCGGTGGAGCATGTTGTGTGTGTGCTGCTCCCTGGGAGCCTTGGTGAGCTCCTGGCCGTGGGCTGGGATGGCAGGGGGTGTTTCCAGGAGGCAGGCAAGCCCTGCTCCTCACTGTGATACTTGCTGTGCCCTCAGGCACTGAGTCTCAAGCCATTCTCCTTCTCTAGCTCATTTCACAGGACGAGGCTGACCGGCGAGGGAAGGTCTATGACAAGTACATGTCCAGCTTCCTCTTCAACCTCAACAACGGTAACTCGCCTGGGGCTTCGAGGGGTGGAGGAGACTTGGGCTGCCTGGCAGGGGACTGGTGGCCAGGCGGGCAGTCAGCCCATCTGTCACCTGAGCAGCAGGCCTGTCTTTACACTACAGTTTTATTCTTTTCTTTTCTTTTTTCTGACTAGATTTTGTTGTCGACGCTACCCGCAAGGGAAATAAAATCCGCTTTGCCAATCACTCGGTGAACCCCAATTGCTATGCCAAAGGTGAGACATCCCTGCCCAGGCAGATCTTGGTGGGGGAAGGTTCCCTGGGGTCCTGCTCAGCTCTGGGATTGCAGTGGATTCTCTGGGGTCCCAAGTTCCCCTGAGCATGTGGGAGCAGCAGAACTTCAAAGACCTGGACAAAGTCTCCTCCTCTCTGCAGCAAATCACATTCTTGCTGGTGAGGGCCCCGCTCAGCTCTGCAGTGGCCCTGACCTGGCAAGGGGAGATCGCTGCTGGGAGCAGCTGGGAGCTCAGGGCTGGGACCAGGCAGGGCAAAAGCCCTGTGAGACCTGAACTGGGCTGGAGCTGGTCTCTGATGTCACCTCTCTGGTTGCAGTTGTGATGGTGAACGGAGACCACCGGATAGGGATCTTTGCCAAGAGGGCCATCCAGGCAGGAGAGGAGCTCTTCTTCGATTACAGGTACCTCAGGGAGCAGCTGGCTGGGGACTGGGGCGCAGGGTTGACCCCACTTTCTGCCCACGTTTGTGGGAAGTGTGGGAGTTCATTACAGCAGCCGTGACTTTCCTGTCTTGTAGGTACAGCCAGGCAGACGCCCTGAAGTATGTTGGCATAGAGAGGGAGACAGACATCATCTAGGCTCTGTGCGGAGCAGTCCCCAGCACACCTTCTGCTGCACCTTGTAAGCAATGCCATGTTTGCTTCACGCTGACATGACTGCGCTGTTCCCGTTGCTGTGTGCGTCACCAGTGCTACTTTCCATCCAGATGCCCGGAGAGAGACTCAGGGCAGGAGTGTGAGTGGCTGCTGCCGGGGTGGCAGCTTTGCCAGCCTGGGGCTGGGGCAGGGTCTTGGGCCTTGCTCTGCGGGCAGTCTCCTGGGCTGGAGGGAGCCCATGGACCAAGGCAGCTGGGCCTTGAAGAAATGCAGTGGTGCAGGAGGGACAGCTGCGAATTCTCAATCTCTTTCCATCTTCTGTCAACCACTGGAAGAGTGAGTGAGGTACTGGCTGCACCGAGACCCAGG